ATCTCATTGGTTAAGTTTATTCCTAGGTATTTTATTTTTTGTTGCAATTATAAATGGGACTGTTTCCTTAATTTCTCTTTTTGCTACTTTATTACTAGTGTATAGAAATGCAATGTATTTCTGTATATTAATTTTGTATCGCATGACCTTACTGAATTCACTTATCAGTACTACTAGTTTTTTGGTGGAGTCTTTTGGGTTTTTTTCTATATGTAGTGTCATGTTTAGTGAAAGTTTTACTTCTTCTTTACCAATTTGGATGCCTTTTATTTCTTTTTCTTGCCTGATTGCTGTGGCTAGGTCTTCCAGTACTATGTTGAGTAAAAGTGGTGAGAGTGGATGTATTCACTTTTTAATCGCTGTATCATCTGGGTAACTGGTAGTGGTCACTCTCAGGCAAGGCCTATGATCTTCTGTATTTATAAATGTATTTCAGACAGAGAAAAAGGGGATACATGCATCAGGAAATGTGAACTTACCCCGAAATCCTAGTATACTTGCTGTTATATCTCACTGTCCAGAAATAAGCCATATTTCCAGCCCCAGGTACAAGAACATCTGAGAAAATAATGTGTTTCCCTTGGTCAGATGGATACACCACATTAAGTCAGGGTTTGATATTGAGACTGCGTAGGCATGTGGCAGTTTCTGCTGTTACTTATACAGTTGAGAAAGTTTCCTTCCTAGTTTGCTAATTTTTTTTCAGTGAATGGGGGTTTAATTTGATTGTTTTTTTTTTCTTCAGTATTTCTGGAAATTGATCATTTATTTTTCTCTTTTGTTCTGCTATTGTGGTGAATCACAATAACAGACCTTTCTAATGGTACACACCAGTCTTGATAATAATTATGATACTTTTTTTTTAATTCTAGTATAATTAACATATAGTGTTATATTAGTTTCAGGTGTATACTCTTGCTTTGTTTTAATATACTGCTGGGCTTTGTTTACCGTATTTTATTTGGGATTTTTTTAATCTATGTGCATAAATAAGAGAGACCTGTAGTTTTTCTTATTCTTATCTAGACCATCCATCTACTTTGGGTTTCAAAATTATACTGTCTTCATAAAATTAGTTCGGAAGCTCTCCCTTCCTCTTCTCTGGAACTGTTTGTATATAGTGGAGATTTTCTGTTCTCCTGGGAAACCCTCTGGGCCTGATGGGTTGTTTGTGTGCAGGTGATGCTTATATGTAGATTCCTCTCCTAGGGATTTGATTTCTTTTGTTACAGATCTTATCAGATTACCTAATTCTTCTTGAGACCATTTTGGCTATTGATATTTTTCTAGGATATCGTCTACTTGTCTAATTGTTCATTTAGTTGTCTGTAGAATTCTTAGAACTTTGTAATCTCCTGAACCATAGCTGTGTCCCATTTTTTTCCCTTTTTGATCTATTTTGCTTCTCCTAATTTTGCAAGGTTGTCTCTCTTATTAGTCTTTTTTTGCAGGGGGGGGGGCAGAATCAGCTTTAGTTTTATTTGTCCTCTCAAATTCATCAATTTTTGTCCTTTTATTATATTTCCTTCATTTTACATCCTTCGGTTTCCTTATTTTCTGACTTTATTGCTTAGCTCTCGCTTCTCCATGAGTCTTACTGTCTAATGTATGCATGTAAGATTCCATGATTATTCAGCTCACTAATTAGCACTCTTTGGGTTTATGTGTTCAGAGTTACTAATAATACACTAATTGTCCTTCCTTCCTGCCCATCTCTCTCCATCCGGCCTGTGGAGACATGAGAGATTTGGCAGCTGCCTTGTCAGAATCCAGGTGCACCACCCACAGTGTTTCCTTGGTGTGTTCATCTTCATAATCCTGACGGAGGGTGGTCTGAATTGTCATTAGTCCTCATAATCACTGGCTCATCTTCTAAGCATTCACAGATTATCCTTTTAGCATGTATTCATACACCAGAGGTGCAAAATCTACCTTCTTGATTTGTCAAATACCGACAACAGCCATTCCGATGCCCTATTTTCTTTGCAAAAGCCTTTCTCTGCGCGCAGATGGAGCCCGTTCCAGCCGGCTCGGGGATAGGATTTCTGCTCTCCCCTTCCGGTAACGATACTACACTTTTTAATCTGAAATTTATGCTCCTTGACAGAAAGACCAAAGTCAAATTGGGATTTGGGCAACTTCTGATGTCTCCATGTCCCTTCCTTTCCTTTTGCTAGCAACTGAGCTAAAACGGCGTGTGTGTTTAGCCTTGAACTGTTCGGACAAACTGTGTTTCCTTTTTGTGTTCGGTATTTCTACTGCTCCTCTACAAGCCGCTTCCTAGTCCAGCAGATGCATTTTAAACCACACCTCACCGAGGCTCTCCCAGCGACTCTGGGCTTCTCGGAACCTCTCTGCTCTCAGCCGTCTTCATCTCTAAAATGACAGGGTTGGACTGGGGGGTCCACCTCAAGGTCCGTCCAGCCCTGAAAGCTGGCCCGTCCTGCAGGAAAGCAGACTGCGGAGCCCTGTCTGCTTCCATCTCTGAAACCCATTGATGTTCTCCCCGAGCCCCAAGAACTTTTTGTGCTTGCTCTGCATTCTGTTTCAAAGCAAGAAGAAAGGAAAGGGTGTAAAGGAGAAATGTATGCTAGTAAAAAGTAATTTTTTTTTTCCTCAAAATGGGAAAGAGAATTTGAGAGGGAGCCTCCGAGGGGAAGCATGGGTCTGCTGGAAGGAAGCCCCATGTTAGGACCATATGTCCTGGGCTCATAATCCTTCTCATCCATCAGTCAGGGGACCTGTGTGGGTGCCCCTCACTCTCTGAGCCGCAGTTTGATCTGTGACTAACCAAAAACTAAGATAAAACGGTCTTTCCTTTTCAGTGCAGAGTAGATGCGAACATGAAATCATAAAGTGCAAGACACTTGTATAAACGATCAAGCATTCAGCACACACAGGGAACCATTATTACCGTCAAGGTTCCAGTCTCCATTAAAATGCTAACAGAAGCAAGTTCTGTGCTACTTTTATCTTTTCTGATAAAAGTGAATCTGAGAGCTGCTTTCTCTCCCTAATTGAATTATAGAACTTTGCTGATTCTCTGCTCTATTATAATACATAGGAAAGCCTTGCTCTAATATAAAGCACCATTCAGATGAGAGGTATAATTGTTACTATTCACATTTCACAGGAGTTCTTTTGTCTATGATCTGTTATCTGCTCACTTTTCAGTATCTCACAAACATGAACTCAGACACACAGCTCATTTTCATAATGGAGATTTCCCAGTGAGTGAAGTGGATGATTGCTTAAAGCACATGATTGGCTTTTTCTTTAAACAGTGCATATGCAGACATGGACATGAGCCAAATTCCCCCAGAGGCAACTTGACACTTGCAAATCAAAATTACAGAAAGCCACTTCCCCACCACTCTGTGGCAAGACCTTCAGACCAGATATCTCAACTACAGGAGAATTTGTCCTTGTGCCCAAAGGAGTGGGCAAAATACGCACTCTTTCTCAAGGGCCCACAACCTATTGGTGTGAAATATTAATACACCATTGCAGACACAAATCAGACATGTGGCTGAGCTCACTGAGTTGTCCATTCAAAAAGAAATGCTAACTTGGTAAATGATTTCCTTACAGCTTCTCTTCTAAGACCCCAGCTTTCAAGTGTCTGCTGGATGCCTGACCCTGGGTTTCCCACAACACTTCAAATGCTCGTCAGAAATCGGACTCATCATTTCTTTCCCCAAATCTGGTCTTTGAACTGTGTTCCCTAGAACCATGCTCCCCATTCACCCAGCCTAGAAACTTGGAGCTCATCGGAGGCACCTCAGTTCTTTGTATTCTCACTTCTCCAGCCCTTAATTTGCTCGTCTCCTCCAGATTGGACTAGACTCTTCCAGGAATCTTTCTTTTGTGTTCCTGAACAGATTCCCCTGCATACATTCCCTGGCTTCTCCAGTATGTCCTTCATGCTGCCCTAGAATTATCTGAACAAAATTCAGGGTGGGCCATGCCCCTCTTTTGTGGGCTCCCTGTCACCTACAAAGTAAATTCCACACTCTTCAGCATAAGATTCGAGGCTGTTCACCATAGGTCATTGTGTTATTGGTTGGGAAGTGTTCATTCAGCTAGAGATAACGAGAGATACACAACGAAACATGACTTAAATAGTGAGAAACAACTGATTTTTCTCACCTACCAAGAAATCCAGAAGTCTCAGGATCAAGGACTGGTTTATTCAACAGCAAAGCACAAGCACCCAGGTGTTTTCTGCTCTTCTGCTCTGTCATCCAACACATGTTGGCTTTTGCCCTCAGGCTTGCCCTCTCTTGAGCCCCACGTGGGTACTTTGGCTCCATCACATCCTCCCCCATATAACCATGCAGGAAAACTACATTCCTTCTTCTGCGGGAAAACCTGCTCATGAGCCCCTAGCCGATCTCTCTTATATCTCACTGGCCACAATTCTGTCGTGCGCCATACCTACCAATCATGGGCAAAGAGAGAGAATTATGGTATTTGACTTATACAAGTAAGTATTCACACCTTGAAATCAGGATTCTTCCCGCCGGAAAGAAAGGAAGTGGGGAAGGGGTTTGGTTGCAGAGGCCCCTGTTAGGCTCTGCCAGGGTTTGTACCCAGCACTTAATCCCACCCACACACCACTGTCCCCTGGCCGCCGGAATGCTGTCCAGTCTCAGAACCTAGCCCCTGTTTTCATTTTCCCACGCACACTCTCTTTCCTTACTATCACCTGCAATTCCTGGTTCCGCCTCTAGGGGCGCCTCGCAGTCTGGTAGGGGGAGCTGTTTGGGGAATTGAGGGGTGGGAAGCTGCCGCCAGGCTGTGCGTTTGTAGTGCATGCCTCGCTTTTGTTTCTGCCCCTGGCACAGTCCTACATGGGCCTTCCATTACTGTAGACCGTAACGGTCCTCAGTTAGCCGGTCTTGTCCTTCCCGTGGCACTTAGAACCGAGCGTGGACTGGGACGGTGACGTTTGCCCAATGACGCTGCCCGAGTTACCATTCCCTGTCTCTGACTTGCAGGTCTGCGCCGCTAGCGTCGTCCCCCAAGACAGTGAGCAGAACGGCCTTATGGGGAGAGTGGACGAAGGTGTGGATGAATTTTTCACCAAGAAGGTGACCAAAATGGATTCCAAGTGAGTTCAGAATCATTCTGCTAATAATACTGCTTAATGCACATTTAAATTACTAAGTTGCCATGAAACTTAACCATGCCAAGGCTTGTTTATCTTATTTTATATATATTACATAAGGTTGACTATTCTGATGGTTTGCAAAACGTGATCTCCAGGCCAGCGATCTCACTTGTCAACTGGGAACTTACTAGGAATGCAGATTCTCAAGCCGCTACCCCAGATGTGTAGAATCAGAAACTTGGGATGTGGGGCCCAGCAATCTGTACTTTAATAAGCCTTCCAGGGTAAACTGAGGCATGCTCAAGTTTGAGAACCATTGTCCTGTTCTAAAATAGAACACACCCAGGTATTTCTTTAGGGTTTTACCACCGGCACCTGGATGACTCTATTCCAGAGTGGTGAACTTTGAGAGCTGACATTACTTATTTTTAAATTCTCCTCACTCAGAATTTAGTGGGGGATGGGCGGGGGGCGCTGTATCGCTGCTAAAATGGCACGGCTTCCAGACAGTGTCAACATGAAGTTGTCTTATTTTCTTATTCGTAAGTGGTGTTTCCTTAAAAGACAGTCCTTTTATGAACTTCTATTAACAGCTGTTTAACCTGGAACACTTCCAGCATTAAGCAGGATTTGTACCGAGTTATTTAATCCCCAACCAAAAAGCAGATCTATCCCCAAATACACTCTGAACATGGATTTGTGTCTGCGGTATTCTTCACCTGGGGATAGCAAATTCAGGAATGAATTGAAACCATAGCGATAAGCCGAGGGTGGGAGGGTGGGCAGGCCAGCGCAGGTAGGGAAGAAACTGGTCCATTCCATAGATTGATGTGCCTTATCTTGCCTCAGCAGGATGGTGAGGTGGAAATAAGTGAAGTTTTTATATCCATACCAGTATAACTCACTGCACGTTAGAAGCTTCAGGACCCAGTTATTTGTCTTCTTTGACACTGGCCTTGAAGCTTGGCGTCCGAGGAAAGATTCCACGCTCCCATTCTTCAAGAACCAACCTCAACGTCATTTATTCTTTGAAGCTGTCTCAGGACTACTCTGTCCCCACCCCCCAGAGTAATTGCTCTTTCTCTGCTGCTGACTCAAAGCTTTTTTTTTTTCATCCTTTGCACCCATCTGTTAGAGCACACATAATCCTCTGAGCGTTTCTTCTGTTTTAAATTTTTTTACAGTATGAGGAATGGACGGATGTACTCTCAGTGTGAAAGATTCAGGCAGTCTGACGTGCCAACATAAACAGAACGAAATGGCAAAGTCCCTTTTGATGATGTGCTCAAAAGTCATTTGTCCCCAGAGAATGCTTGTTCTTCAGAAGCATCCCCCAGGTCTTACTGTTCGTTATAACTTGAGCGTCTGACACAGCCCTGTAATACAGAGTCTGTCTTCAGTCACAATTGGTTGAATGAATTTAGACGGCCCACAAACTGCAGACACCGCTGGGGGCTCACCTCCTCCTAAATTTCAGAGGTTGATGGGTTGTTAGTGGGAGGTGTATGCATGCTTGGTCTGAACCATTTACACCTGCCCCCGTGTCATTTCCTGCATCCTTATGATGCCTTCTTCTGTGACGGGCTCTGCAGGAAAGTTAGGTGAATTTTAGAAGGTATAAAGTCCACTTTCTACAAAGATACTGCTCTGGGAGTATGTTCCAGGGCACAAATAATAGAACTAGAAATCAGTTTTCATCAAATAATGATGGAATCTACTAGAAGTTTTGATTTTTTTTTCAATTCTTTTTTGTTCTATAAAAACAGACTGTCAGTTTGATGTGTAAAGGGCTAGACACGGGTAAAATCTGCAAGTTGTATGAAGAACATTTGCAAATCAAAGTTATAAATGCTCCTAGTTTAAAACACCAGATGTTCTACAAGGCTCTTACCAAAAAACCCCCCCAAAAACAAAAAAACTCTATTGTTTCTTTCCTCACTCCCTATTCCCCAGAGGCAATTAATTCCTGTTGCCTTTAGCTGTTTATTTTTTATTTATGCTTCCATATTCTTTAATAACATTTTTTGCTATTTCCTGTTTTTCAGGTTTAGATAGCAAGCATGACTGTTAGCTCCTCACTGTAGAGGATGATAATTTAGCTCTGATACATCGTGACCCTACTGCCCACCACACACACACACACACACACACACACACACACACACACACACTCTCTCTCTCTCTCTTCCATGTGAATATTCATGGCTGAGTTACACCCTCTTTGGGTTTGCTCTCCTTTACAGCCTCTTAGGTTCCCTGCCATTAATAATCATCCCCTTCCCGTTTGCTTACTTTTCTGTACTCCTGTCCCTGCCATATCCCATACGTCTCCAAGAAAGGAATAAATCTCCTCCGCGTTTGTTCAGGTATCCTCCGTGTCATCTCCTGCGACAGGCAGACATATCCTTCACTGCTGCCTGACCAACTGCGTGTGGCATCTGGGCCCATTTCCCTGCCGTTAACCCCCGCCACCTCCCATCTCTTCCTGCTGGGGGCTTCCCTTGGCCACATGCCTGTGTCCTTTCCCTGTTTCCTTTGGCCTGTGTTTTCTCCTTGCTTCTTTGACTGCCTTGTTTTGGTGAACGACCTCCTCCGGTTGCCTCCTGAGAAGGGCAGCTTGCGGGGGGAGCATCTGAGACTTGTAGATCTGTCTTTCGTTTTGATTAACAGTGTGACTACGTATAGAATTCTCGATTGAATCCATCTTACCTTAGAATTTTCAAAACCTGGTCCCATTCCCTTCTAGCTTCTAGTGTTGCTGTAAGAATCTGTCTGTCGGGGAGCAACAATACTCTGTCCCCTTCAAGGTCCTTCTAGCTGGACTAAGAATCAAATTGACATGAGAAAGATGAACAGGAGAGAATCAAATATAATAGTGTGTATACAGGGAAGCCACACAGAGGGGAAATTCCAAAGACAGGCAAAATGAGGCACATATGTCGTTTTGAACTAAGGAGAAGGCGACAGGGGTCTGGGACTTCAATGGGAAGGAACGCAATTCTCAGGAAGAGTAAATGTTTGGTTCACAAATGTCTGCTGAGCCACTCAGACAATGGGACATAGAGGCCTGGTCCAACAGGCCTTGATAGGTTCCTCGCCATCTACCACTCCTGGTTCATAGCGTAATGTAGTTCTCGATGCCCGCAGCTCTCTTCCTGGAGCAGCTCCTCTATCTAAATTCTTTTAGGCAGTCGAAGGGGGGATGTGAGGAGTTTTTTCCTGAATCGGCTGGGTTTTGATGACTTGTTCACTCAAAATAATCTTCGTGCCAAAGCAGCCCATCTTGAGGCAGCCTGGCCTTGGCCCGTACAAATCCAGTGTCGTCATGAGCCCTGGTCCTTTGTTACTTGTTTTTGTTTTTACTCTTTTTCTGGAAGCGTTTGGGATTTTCTCTTTGTTCCCAGAAATTTATGATGATTGGCTCTGGGTAGCTTTGTTTTGTTTTGTTTTTTTTGTTTGAACCCCTTTGCTAGGCCCTAATGAGCCATTTCAATCTGAAAATTCATGTGTCTTGGTTCTGGGAGTTTTCTTGAATTATTTTTTTCATAATTTCTTCCCTTCCTTCTTCTCTGTATTCTTTCTCTAAAACATCCCTTATTCAAATTATGTGTTTTCTCTATGAATCCCTAGTTTTTGTTTTGTTTTTATCTTTCTCATTTTCTCATTCTTTCTGTTACCCGCCCCCTGTTCCTTGCCGTCTGGGAGATTCCCTCAGCTATATCTTCCAACCTTGAGTTTTACCTCCTGCTATCACATTTTCCTATTATGCCTGTTTGATGGTGCAACAGTTTTTTGCTCCTTCATTTGAAATGAAATAAGACACTAGTGAGCTTGGAAGTTGGTGTCTTGGAGGCAGTGAGGCTTCTAACAGGATGCCTGGAGGCCAGCAAGGAGGCGGCCGCGGCCCGCTGTGGGGAAGGTCAGAGGGCTGTCCTGGCAGCGTCCACGAGAGGCTGGATCCCACCGGACAGGCCCACGATGGTGGTGCCACGATGGGAAAGCCCTGAGCAAGTGAGGAAGAAAAAGCGGGAAACCCTGCTTCCCCACACCAAATAATGAATATTATACTCTCTTGTTAACTGCACATAAAAGGTAGAACCCCAAACCCCCGCACATAGCTCGCTGTCTCTTAAGCTTATCTACTCACCTCTTGAGAGTATAATTTATTTTTTGTTTTGTTTTGTTTTTTTAAAGATTTTATTTTTAAGTAATCTCTCCACCCAATGTGGGGCTTGAACTCATAACCCCAAGATCAAGAGTTGCTTGCTGCACCCATTGAGCCAGCCAGGTTCCCCTTGAGAGTGTACTTTTGGTTTAATAAACTTTCCTGCTTATGTTGCTTATCCACTGTGTTGTGTGCCCTGTCCTTCAGTTCTTCCTCCTGATGAGACCAAGAGCATTCCAGGACATCTTTGGGACAGGCTGGGTCAAGGGCCCAGAGTCTCCCCAGTTCACCTGGCAACAAGTAGAGTCTGTTGACTGGTGGACTTCAATGTGTAGGGTACCCTTCTTGGATCATTTTGTTGGGCAAGGCTCTCCCTGACTATCTGAGTCTTTGGGTCTTTTCTCTTGAGCTTGTTGAGAAATTTGATCTCCTGCCTGGAGGGCATAAACCTGGCTGCCCTATTCTTGAGCTTGTTGAGAAATTTGATCTCCTGCCTGGAGGGCATAAACCTGGCTGCCTCATTCACAGAATGAGAGAAAGAGCTTGTGAGTATCACTGTTCCAATATGCAGGCTTTCCTGTGCTTGTAGGGGAGGAAAAATAATTTTTTCTCTACCCTTCTAGGTTCCTGGCTGAGATACTCCTGTGAAAGACAGATTAACAGAAGAAAAACAGAAGTTCAAGAACAAGGGTGCTTCCTATATACGTGGGAGAGACTCAGAAAAACTGAGTAGCTTCCCAGAATGGCTCAAGCCACCACCTTAAATGCCATTTTCAGCTAAAGACAAAAGACACAGGTTGGGATGGGGGGCAGGAGGGGCGTGACATAAGTGTGGGGAGGTTACCAGGAGAAGGTCTCTATAAACAGGGTAAGGGTGTTACACAGACTTAAGTCCATACCTTCTCCATTGATAAGTTTCTAGAGATTTAGTTCTCCTCCTCCTTCCTCTTCCTGCTACTGAGAGGAACACACCCTTATAAATGGAGATTTCTCTTATAAACAACTCTTCCCAAAGGGCAACTTCTCAGTTCTCAGAGCTGCTTCAGCATCTACTATTTCTTTTTATTTTTTTATTTTTGCTCTTCTTGAGCTTAACCTTGATTTTTATTTTATTTATTTTTTAAGCCATTCCTATTTTATTTACTTTATTATGTATTATTTATTTTTATTATGTTCAGTTAGCATCTGCTATTTCTTAATCAGCCTAAAATAATCCTTGTGCCAAAGAGGTATATTTTGGGGTGCCACGGTCTGCTGCCCCTCACCCTCCCCGGCGGGTAAACTTGGGCGCGAAGGGGCAGTTTTGGTCTCTGGTTTGGGGAGAGGACCTGCGGTTTGGTGAATGGGCTCTGGCTCTCTCTCCCTCTGCAGAGGCCCCCTTCACTTCTGTTCCCAGAGGTGCCTGGAGCCCCGTGCAAACCCACCACCTCTCATCTCCCCCCACCAGCGCTTCAGGGAGCAGCTTTCTACGTCTGTTGAGTCCATTTTCACTCACAATTGTCTTGGCTTCCAGACTGTGTTGTTTGGCCTTTCTTCCGCTCTGGGGCTTTTGCCTTTATTTTTTTTCTTTACACCTTTGGCCATGGTTTCACAGGGGACTCAGAAGAGCTAATGGGGTCTGTGTCTTCCATCTCTAAGTGAAAGGCACCAGGGAGACCTCCCATCGGCCCCTTGGACTTGCTTTTTCCCCTGCCCATTCCCCCATTCCTGAATATTGTCTTTCATTCCTGCACATTCTCTTTTGTACAACTCTCTACCAAAGCTCACTGTTCTTGTTGCCTCTTTTAGTGGTATTACATTTAAGCAAGAACCCACATCTTTGTTTGAGTTGAGCGCTAACGGTGGGATTTCAGATGTGATCTAGTGATTATGCAAGGATTTTAGGTAGCCGTGGGGAAATCTGGCCCTTTCTAATGCCAAATTAAATAAGGCCATCCCCCACCTGTGTCTTTGAGAAGCCAGCTTTGCTGGAAGTTCTTACAAGTCGAGAGGCCATTGACCAGAGCGTTTAGATACAGAAATACCTACCCCTTCAGGTTTTCATTCTTAACTGGTGGTACCTCCCTCTCCTGACCTGTGACTATGATAACATTCCACATTTCTATTTATCAAGGTCAAAGACTCAAATTTTTTAACTGCTTTGGAATGGCCGCTAGAGAAGCAATCATCTCCGTATTTGTATTTTGACTGATTCTGGCTGGAGCTTTAATTACAGAAAACCCATAGTATTTGTTCTTTCGAATCCCAGGAGATCATCAGCAAGAGGCTCAGAGTCCCACGAGCTTAGCGAAGGAGGAGATGAAAAGAAAAAGCGAGACTCTCGGAGAAGCGGCTTTCTCAATTTAATCAAATCTCGGTCCAAATCTGAGCGGCCACCCATGGTCTTGACGACGGATGAACCGTCTTCACCAAAGGGGGCCATCAGAAGTCCGGCCACAGACACCCCCAGGAAGGACACAAAGCCCGCAGAGTACAACGGCAGTTCGGAGCGGACAGAGGAGATAAAAACCCCCGACTCCCTTGAGGAAGGTCAAGGGGAAGACGTGGGCAAGGTGGAGCGGAGTGACAGCAAGAGGAGTCCGCAGGGCGGGCGGAGGTACGGCGTCCAGGTGATGGGCAGCGGTCTGCTGGCAGAGATGAAGGCCAAACAGGAGAGGAGAGCGGCCTGTGCGCAGAAGGTGAGGGTGCGTCCCTTCTGACTCGGTTGTCTGTGTGATTTGCCCCCTCTCGGTTTTTATGGGCGAGAGAGGTACAGAGCTAGCCTGTTCGATGAAGGCAAAATCCAAATCCAAAAGTCTTTTTCCAAAAGAACCCAGAGCACAGACAACAAGGGCAGGGCCATGTGTTCCCTCCAGCATGAGGGCCGGCTCTTCGGAGCCACAGTGTTTGAAGGTAAGTCGTTGGCTGAGACTCTGCCGGCCTTTCCCCACCTGCCGAGGTGCTTTCTGTGTGAGTCAGGAGCCTGGGAATGCAAGTAAATGCTCAAAGCTGGGGAGAGGACCAGTCTGTTGAATCCAAAATGAGACCTGAGCGTGACCAGAAACAGAACTGACAGAGGCTAATAAAAATACTGAAACCATGGGGGTGCCTGGCCGGCTCAGTCAGTAGGGCGTGTGACTCTTGATCTCAGGGTTGTGAATTCAAGCCTTGTGTCGAGTATAGAGATTACTTAAAAATAAAAAAAACAATCTTAAAAAATACTGAAACCAGATTCTAATTATATGAAAATAGATCTGCTTTTCAGAGGGTCAAAGTATTCTGTTAGAATTAATTGAATACTTGGTCATTGAGATATATTGTGGATTGCTATGAAGAAAAAGTTGATCATTTCAAAATTGCCAAGTCCCCCCAAAATCTGACTTAATACATCATTTATCCTTCGAACATCTTTTAAAGTAGACATTGTGGTGGTTTTTTCTTCCATTATCTCTTCTTTGTCCTGCAGCTACTTGAAAGATCATAGCTTTATTGTGATCACTAAGCTCATCATACCCGTGTGAACCCAGGTTTTGGGTATAGTGCATGAATCTGAGCTCTTTTTCACTTATATAACTGGGTTTCCCAGAGAAAGGAAAATTGCCCATCTGTTTTATTTGAAGTATCAGAATAAAACAATTCACCCCAACGAACCCTTGATTTTTAGAAAGTTACTAGTAAACTGTATTATAGGCCAGGATGTGGAGGGCTGTTTTATATGACTTAACAACTGATTATTTTTTCATTAAATCCTGTATCCCATGTGACTTTACAACTGTTCACCATAGTTCCTCCACCAGCACCATAGTTACCCAGCAATTTCCCTGTGACAGATCTCTCCTAACTTATTCATTGACCCTTACAGAAGGTTGAGGAGGGTGCAGAGGGGGGACCATATAACTGTATTCTGCTAATTCAGCAAGGCAGGCACGATGTGGCCTTCACTGGTCAGAATTCTGAATAAACACTGACCACATTCACTGGTGGGTGAGTCAGACGCCCAAGGAAATGTTTGAATTTCAATCCATTTTATAGAATTTCTTACAACAATGAATGGGCTATTTTCACTAACGAGCTGTTTATTGCTGTTTATTTTATCACTGTTTTCACTGATGAACAGCTGCTTTTTGGTAGAAAGATGGGAAGTGCTAGAGGGTTTTTCCCATGTGCTTTGGATTGGTTACATAAATTGGCTTGGAGTGACAAAATTCCTACGTTTTAGGTCTTAGTTGTCCAAGGCTTATAGTAATGAGCTCCTAGCGCCATCTTGTGTCTATTTAAAACAACATCAATAATAAAAATCCTTAGGATTTTTCCCGGAGATGTGGGTTCAGTTCAGATCAACACAATAAAGCAAATATCACAAAAAAGCGAGTCAAATGAGTTTGGGGGTTTCCCAGTACGTAGAAAATAATGTTTACACCATACTTTATTAAGTGTGCAACTGGCACTGTGTCTAAAAAAACAATGTACAGACCTTACAATTTTAAACTGTTTTGTCGATAAAAACTACTAGTGATCATCTGCACTTGCTGGTGGAGGGTCTGGCCTCCACGTCGATGGCTGCTGCCCAATGAGGGTGGTGGTTGCTTAACGGGGGGCTGGCTGTGGCAATATCTTAAAATAAGACAATCGTGAATTCTGCCGCATTGATTGACTCTTCCTTTCACAAATGATTTCTCCGTAGCACGCAATGCTGTTTGAGAGCATTTTACCCACAACAGAGCTTCTTTCAAATTGGAGTGAATCCTGTCAACTGTGCTGCTGCTTTATCAACTAAGTTTCTGTTATAATCTAAATCCTCTGTTGTTGTTCTGATAATCTTCACTCCATCTCCCCCTGCCCCCCCCCCCCCCGGACTAGATTCCATCTCAGGAAACCACTTGCTGTGCTCCTCTGCTCCTCCGTAAGAAGCTCCTCCTCATTCGTTCAGGTTTGATCATGAAATTGCAGCAGTGCAGTCCCCTCTTGAGGCTCCCCTTCTAGCTCTCTTGCTGTTTCCACCACATCTGCAGGGACTTGCTCCACTGGAGTCTTGAACCCCTCCAAGTCCTCCACGAGGGTTGGAGTCAACTTCTTCCAAAGTCTGCTCATGTTGATGTTTTGACCTCTTCCCACGAATCAGGAATGTTCTGAATGGCATTTAGAATGTCGAATCCTTTCCAGAAGGTTTTCAATTGATTTTCCCAGATCCATCAGAAGAAGTACTATGGCAGCATTAGCCCTACAAAATGTATTTCTTACATAATAAGACTTGAAAGTTGAAATGACTCCTTTGATCCGTGGGCTGTGGAATGGATATTGTGTTAGCAGGTGTGAAAACAACAAGCCACAACGTACTCTTGTGTGACCAGGTGCCTTGTCAATGAGCAGTAATGTTTTGAAAGGAATCTTTTATTCTGAGCAGTAGGTCTCAATAGTGAGTGAAAAATTTTTTTACTGAAAAATATTCAGTAAAGCATGTTATGAACAGATGTGCTGTCATCCAGGCTTTTTTGGTCATCCATTTATAGGGCACTGAGTAGATCTAGCATGATTCTGAAGGGCCCTCGGATTTTTGGAATGGGGACTGAGCATTGGCTTCAACTTCAAGTCTGCAGCTGCATTAGCCCCTAAAAGAGTCAGCCTGTCCTTTGAAGCTTTGAAGGCAGGTATTGACTTCTCCTCTAGTTGTGAAAGTCCTAGATGGCATCTTCTTCCAAAGGAAGGCTGTTCGTCTACACTGATAATCTGTTTTCTAGTGTAGCCGCCTTCATTCATTCTCTCAGCTAGATCTTTTTTTTTTAAAGATTTTATTTATTTATTTGAGAGAGAGAGAGAGCACGAGAGGGAGGAGGGTCAGAGGGAGAAGCAGACTCCCTGCCGAGCAGGGAGCCCGATGCGGGACTCGATCCCGGGACTCCAGGATCATGACCTGAGCCGATCTTCTGGAGAACCTGCTGCAGCTTCTCCGTGAGCACCTGCTGCTTCACCCTGCGCTTTTCTCTTCTGCAGCTTCCTCACCTCCCTCAGCCTTCATGGAACTGAAGAGTTAGGGCCTTGTTCTGGATGAGGCTTTGGCTTAAGGGTAGTTATGGCTGGTTTGATCTTCTGTCCAGGGCACTCAGACTGTCTCCATACCCGCAATAAGGCTGTTTCACTTTCCTGTCATTCATGTGTTCACTGGAATAATACTTCTTATTTCCTTCAAGTACTTTCCCTTTGCATCCACAGCTTGGGTAACTGGCCCAGGAGAGCTGGCTTTCAGCCTTTCTCAGCTTTCTGCATGCCTTCCTTGCGAAGCTTAATCATTTTAGCTTTTGATTTAAAGGGAGATGTGTAACTCGTCCTTCACTCGAACACTTGGAGGCTATTGTAGGGTTATTACCTAGCCCCGTTTCAATATTGTTATGTCTCAGGCAACAGGGAGATGTGAGGAGAGGAAGAGAGACGGGGGCGGGGGGGGGGGAGGGCTGGTTGGTGGAGCAGGGAGACCATGAACCACAGTTATCAGTGAAGTTCACTGCCTTACATGGGCACGGTTCATGGCACCCAAAACAGCTATGATAGTAACATCACTGATCACCGTAATAAAGAGAACAGTAAGGAGAGAGTTTGAAATATTGTAAGAATTACCAAAATGTGCCACAGGGACATGAAGTGAACAAATGCTGTGGGAACAATGGTGCTGACAGACTTGCTCAGCACAGTGTTTTCACAAACCCGCAACTTGTAAAAACAAAAGCAGTATCTGCCAAGTGCAATAAAATGAGGTATGCCTGACCGGTCAGCAGTATTCTATCAGAATAATAAAGAATAGGAAAGGTTCTCAAAACTTAGTATGTATCAGAAGGGACACCTGGGTGGCTCAGTTAAACGTCCGACTCTGACTCTGACTCCACTGCCTGTGGAGCCTGCTTGAGACCTCTCTGCCCCTACTGTCCCTCCCCTCCCTCATGAGCTCTCTATCTTAAAACAACAACAAAAAACCCCCCACAGAATTAGTATAAGAATATTTTCCCCTAAAATGACTATATTCTTTATAAAAGTAAGCAGCATAAGCACCAGTGGTCAGTATACTCTTGGTAAAATTTACGGCATCTTCACTCTTCTCTTGAATAATTTTCTTTCCACTAGTCACATTTAATACATGTATTGAAAGGAGAAGAACCGTGAAAGTGAAGACGTGGCCCTTCTCGTTTATTAACAAAGGCGAGTAACAAGTACCGAACATGTAGAGCCCCATCTTTTCTTGGGGGGCCACCTCGTCAGCTGCCTGCTCAAAGACAGTGGACGTTACAGTATTTTATCCTTATTCCACACAGGCGTTTTTGCTGTCCGTTAACTACCTCAGACAGCCAGGAAGGAAGAAGAAAACACAACTCCTCCGATTATACTTTAAACGCAGGCAAGCGAGGCGCCGAGGGTGCATAGTGTGAGGAGGCATTGGCTCTGGGGGGCCAGCCTGGCGCTCACACGCCCGAAAGCCCGGGTCCCCTTCCACTTGTGCGCTGGCGTCTTGCTTGACACAGCCTCATCCTGGCCACGTTCAAGTAGGCCACCTTCTTAACCTGTGTCTGAGCACAGGGGGCCCCGCCCCTGACCGGCTCTGTTCCAGGGCTCGGGCGCCCCCTGCTGGTCCAGGTGGGGACTTCGCGCCCTTCTCCCCAGTGGGCTCAAGGGCTTGCCTGCGGCCCTGGCGCGGGACGTCATTTCCTTGGGATCCCTTTTCCTTAGGGACGCCAAACAGTGTGCACATTCTGGCAGTGGAACCTGTGTGCACATTCCTTCTCAGAGACCTGCTGAGCAGCCTTACCCCAGTGGAGCTTCCCTGGTCGTGCTGAGAGAGGCCAGGGCACCTGCTACCATGCCCGATACCGTGTGGGGGAGCGCTCCGGGCCAGTGTCTGGCCGTGGCCGCCTGGTAAATGCCGTAGATGAGTCAGATCCTACCTGAGTTTCAGGTAACCCCTCCTCTAGCGTCACGAATAGTGGGGAGCTGGGAAGCGGCAGCAGCTATGTGCTTTTCAGGTCTGCCAGAAGCGTAGGCTGCGCAGGAAGCGACAGGCTGAAGGTCAGGCCCCGGTCTCCCTGCCCAGCTGCTTTGTGGTTTGGGAGGGGAGGTAGATGTGGATCGTCTTTGTCAACAGGATGCTTAGGGCATATTCAGCAAACCCTAGATGTTTTGTTTCAGGTAACTTTTTGTATCTAAATGCCTCACTCTTAGGTAGGCTTTCTGCATCGCAAGGAAGAGCCCTAGTCCTGGCTTCACAGGTTGCTGCTCCTTCTCCAAGACAACCGCGTCTAACCTTGCCCCCCCTCTGCTGTCACAAAACCCTTCGCTTGAAGCTTTGGCATCTTACTTTTCTTTTTATTTTCAATTTTTTATTTTTGCGAGAGAGTACAAGCCAGGGGGCGGGCAGACGGAGAGGGAGAAGCAGACTCCCCGCTGAGCAGGGAGGCCGAGGTGGGGCTCGATCCCAGGACCCTGGGATCACGACCTGAGCCGAAGGCAGACACTTCACTGACTGAGCCACCCAGGCGCCCGCTTTTGGGTTTTTTAAATTAATTCTGGTGTGTTCATCCGTGACTTCCTAAACAAGAGTCTTTGTCCTGTGGTTCTGCTTCAGTGGCAGGGAAGGCCCTGTCCATTATAGGCCCCTTTTTACCTTTCTTGTACACTGAAGTTGAAGGGGTTTCCCCTGCTTTTAAAATTTGATTTGGGGAGCTCAACTTGGAGCGAGGGTCCCGTCAACTCACAGAGTGTCCTTGTCCGCACTGTTTGGAGGATCGGGCTGCTGAGCCTGTGTAGGTATTCCACAGAAAAACCCCGCAGGCAACAGGAACTGCCCCTGCGCCCCCTGGCTTCCTCTGAGCCCACGCACCTGTCACCTGCGGGGGGCATTCTGAGCACCTGGCCGCACTCCGGACCCCAGAGCCCTGACTGTGAACGCAGAACAGAACCTGCTCGCTGGAGCTTTGTCCAGGAGGAGGCTCAGGGAGACAGAGGGGTGGGACACAGTCAGTGTGAGAGCAGTAAAGAGGCCATTATTTGTTGTCACTTATGTCCCACTTTGTTCTTTTTCTTACATTTTAAATAAATATGCACCTTCCCGGGGCTGTGTGCTTGAATTTTTCAGAAGCTCGGGAATGAGGCCATCTCTCAGGATTCCCCCGGCCTGGCCTCGGGCAGCACAGAACGGTTGGATGGATGTGGGGCAGGTAAGACCATCACCCTCTAAGGAGAAACACTTCCCATCTGGTTCCAGGAGTCACACATGATTGACAGAAGAAAAATTAGGATGGGAAGGGAAAATGGGCCTCTGTGTCATGTGTTGTCAGCTTTCACCTGGCTGGCCATGCCCCTCCACCTGCCGCAGCTCCACCTGGGCCGTGTCTTCCACCCCAGTAGCCGTGTACCTGGACAGGGCACCTTTGCCAATTTCCCAAAGGGAAGAAACGTCTTTGAGAAGAACTCAACTCCCAAACCGTGGGCATCTGAGGAGTGGGGGGAGGCGGGGTCATGGCCGATGTTCAAAATCAGCCACACACGGTAGGTGCAAGGTGACCCATTTGTTTGAGATGAAGGAATGTTCTTTCCTTTCAACGTGAATATCCACTATCCTTTGTCCCTCTGACTTTTCGGGTGTAATAAAAGAATAAGACACGTTTGTTGGGAACCAAAGAGTAACTTACAAACTGAGTGTCAGAAACCTCGCTTTGCTCTTTGAAAGTCCTGTGTTGAGCTTGAGTATCTTCATGCAGTAAGAGATGTAATGTAGCTCATGTTTAACCAGCAGGGGTGGGACATTGAACCTGAAGCCATTCTCATGGTTCTCGCTACATGGGAGGTTATGGACGTCAGCGTAGCTCTCCTCGCTGGGGACCCGCAGCCAGACCCCTACCTGCTGATGATTATCCAGAAACGAGGCGCCTACAGCTGGTTTTACTTGTGCCTGCACCTCGTGCCACATCTGAGAAAGATCTGAGTGCTTCCAGTGCATTCGGCCCTGCGTGCCGTGCCCTCCGTCCGTTGGCATGGACACGGACATGCTTGAACTTGACGCTTGTTCTCTGTGGAGTAGTCAGGAGTGATCAGAAGCGCACCACCAAGTTCATTGCTTTTCCACAAAGAAGTGTAGTCTTCCGCCTTCGTGTTTTGATTCTACAAGCGTGCTAGAACAACAACATGTTTCAGTTCTGAAATATCTCTGATGAGAAAGGACAAGAAATGGTTATAGCAGCTTGTACCAGATCTCTCCCAGCTTCAAATGACTAGTTTGTTTCACCTTTGAGTTTTAAAGTAAAGTGTGCTCTTTGTCCCCATTTTCATTGCAGTGTCTAAACTGCACCCCGGTCTTGTGGAGAGCCGCTTCGGTTTGGGAACACCCGAAAAGAATGCCAAAGCGGAGCCCAAAGTGGATGCTGGCTCCAGGTCGCGGGGCTCTTCCAGCACACCGACCAGCCCGAAGCCCCTCCTGCAGTCCCCCAAACCCAGCCTGGCAGCGCGGCCCACTGTCCCACAAAAACCGAGAACCGCCTCGCGGCCCGGTAAGGGTTCTGCTTGGCAGGGGGTGACCCCCCCCCTCCATGTCAGGTGGCATCTGGGGCTAGCTGGATTGCGACTCCACCCATGGTTCCGGGGGCTGCTGGTGAACACGGGCACAGGGGTTCTGCAGGACGGCTCAGAGAAACCTGCCAACAGTTTCTACAGGGACAAAGGCTGAGGAGTTTCTTTTTTTTTTAAGATTTTATTTATCTGACAGAGAGGGAGAGCACAAGCAGGGGGAGCGCAGGCAGAGGGAGAAGCAGGCTTCCCACGGAGCAGGGAGCCCGATGCGGGGCTCGATCCCAGGACCCTGAGATCATGACCTGAGCCAAAGGCAGATGCTTAACCGACTGAGCCACCCAGGCGCCCCTGCGGAGTTTCTTTATTCAACACCGCGGCCCAGGGACTCAGAGACTGTCCCTGCATTCAGGCCACAGGTTAGAGGGCCACATGAGAAGACAGCCTTGTGTTGTGTTGGCCCATTTGCAGGGCTTCATTGAGCCTTCTGAGAACTGTCTCCGGGGTCTACAGACCCTTCAGAAGGCCGCGCGTCAAGGATGGGGTGCCACAAATAGGGAGAGCGTAAGTTCTTCTCTTTTTGCCCCGTAGTCTGTGAAATATTTAGGGTTTAGAACAGGGCTTGGCCAACTATGGGCCTGTTTCTATAAATGAAATGTTGGCGGCACGTAGCCAGGCCACCCGTATCCATATTGTCTCCAGTTGTTTTTGTGCTAACATCGCAGAGCTGAGTCATGACAGAGGCCGTTTGGCCTGCAAAAGCTGAGGTATTTACGGTTTGGCCCTTCCCAGAAGACATTTGCTGACTCTTGTATAGAAAATCTACTGAGAGAAGAAACTTAAAAATATTAGGAATGGATTAGACTCTGCCTTTTTCTCTCCTGCAACTGCCCTTCCCTCTCAGGCCTTTTTTTTTTTTCTTTTTTCTTTTTTTCCCCAATGGTCTATTATAAGAATTTTTAAACATATACAAAAGCAGAATGGATAATGTAATAAATCCCATATCACCTCTTCACTTTATTCCCCCATAATAATTAGGCAAATAAGGGTAAAGATACATAGTCGGATTATGCTCATCACCACCGTCACTGGTAATCTTAACACTTCACTCCGTGCCAGGCACTGTCCTAAGTGCTTTGCGTGGATAAACTCCGAATGTCCCCACCACAGATACGGAATGTGAGACCCAGAGATACTCAGTTTGACAAGTCCCACAGCTGGTGTGCAGAAGCCAGACACTAACTAGGACGCCCCCAGCTGCAGGGTGGCTGCTCCCACCGGCCTCCTCCCTGTGGGCATGCATACTAGAAAGTAAGACACGCAGCTCGTTGTAGTCATTCATCCACACGCAGGGGATTGGGTGAAATGAGAAAAAAAGGTGGCGGCGCACCCGCCTAGACTCACTCCACTGTGGGTCGTCCCCATTTGCCCGCAAATATGTCGTTTGTTCACCAGGTAGCCAGCTGGTTAATGTTCGCTGGTCTCCACAGCCCATTCGTCCCTCAGGAAACCCAGTGCCCAGTCTCCAGAGCATAGCCACAGGGGACCCTGGGGTCACCTCAGGCAGCTGACCCTTAAAGCAGATCACTTAGAACTTCCTGATTCTGCTCAAACCTTTTTACAGACCGAAGTTTGTTATGATGGGAAACACAGAACATTTCTTGGTGCACACAGAATATTTTCATAATAGAAAGAGTGTGGAGAGTGAAGGCAAAAAAAAATAGTAATAATTAAAAGAATTGCTTTAAATGACTACTCAAGAGCAGGCTGGTAGTTTCATCAGCAAGGTGTAGCTCTAGTCTGCAGGAAGGGAACGGCTCTTACAAAATGGACCTAGTTTGTTTTTTTGTTTTGTTTCGTTTTGTTTTAAAGATTTTATTTATTTGACAGGGAGAGACACAGTGGGAGAGAGAGCACAAGCAGGGGGAGCGGCAGGCAAAGGGAGAAGGAGAAGCAGGCTCCCCGCTGAGCAGCGAGCCCGATGCGGGGCTCGATCCCAGGACCCTGGGACCATGACCTGAGCCGAAGGCAGACGCTTAACCATCTGAGCCACCCAGGGGCCCCAAAATGGACCTAGTTTGTAGAGTATTTTGGCTCCGCAGTTGGGAAGTCTGAATGTCAAATTAGCTGGATTTCCAATATTCTGTCGCAAGGAGCTTCTGTTTTTGATTTATTTGTTAAATGTGTTCATTTGTTTCTTAGCACTTAGTGTATTGAGACATGTTTGTTTTTACAGCACTTGGCGAATTCCGCAGGCACTTTCGAATCCATCCTTTTGTTTCCTCTCCGCAGCTCTGAGAGATTGTTGGGGCAGGGAGAGCTCTTCCATACCCTGTTGAGACAGTGAAGCACGTAGGGAGAGTTGAATTGGAAGGAGAAGGCTGAGGAGAACCTGACCGAAAAGTGTCATCTCTGTACACACACACACACGCGTGCGCGCGCGCGCCGATGTCAAATAACCTTGCCGGCCACAGAGCAGAGGAAGGAGCACAATTCAGGAAATCCTTTCAGTTCGAATGAAATAGCACAGCCTTTAGGATTCAGAGACTAGAGTTCTAATCCTAGCGGTTTTGTCATCATTTTCCTTCAGCAGGTCATCTATTAATCTCTTCATTTGTGCAGTAATCACCAAAGTCCTTCTAGTCCTTAAAGTCCTTGGAATCCCTGATTCCAAGTTATTCTTAGTGGTCTTAGTCTGTATATAGGTACGTGTACCCATGTTCCTACGTGTGTATGTTTGTATGTACTTCGTGACCACTTCACTGGATTTGGCAGTAGGTAGAAGCAGGAGGTTGTAAATATCACATATTTGAGAAATATCCAACAGCCTCTGTGTCTGAGGCAGAAGGAACATTGAGTTCACTTAGAGTGTAATTTCCAAATACCAGCTCATTGAAATTCTGTGTCTGCAAGATAAAATTCACATCTGTGATTTTTAGAGATTTTTAACCTTTCATAAATTTTAATTATTTCCCCCCTACTGTTCGTAGATGTTACCTGCAGGAACACGAAACTTACGTTTTGGCCGGAAAAATTCTATGATGCTTTTAAAAAAATTACCGGCCATTCATATTTTAAGATTAGCCTGGCTTATGTTTTCGGAATCCAGTTTGTGGGAGTATTGGATTCATGCGTTTGTGTCTCCCTAGAGGATATCCCAGACTCTCCATCCAGCCCTGGCTCCTGTAAAGTGGCTCTTCTTCCGCCTGTCCTGAAGAAAGTTCCATCGGACAAGGAGAGAGATGGCCAGAGTAGCCCCCAGCCCAGTCCCAGGACATTTTCCCAGGAAGGTAAGCAATGTTTCCTCTATGTTCGCTTTCTCCAAGGAGAACCGTTTCAAGGGAAAGGAATTAAGCTTGGACTCAACTAATATCTTAGAGTTTAAGTCAGCATCCCTTGGACTAAACTTTTGGAATCAGAGCAGTTTCCTCATTCAGAAACTTGATTCAACGTTATTGATGACATTGGATCTTAATGAAGGACCATACACAAAGAGTGAAAACGTACCGGACACCCCAACCCAAGGTTTAACCTGTTTGTGATCACTAGGTGCTCCTGCACTGGATCCCAGCAGGTAAGGAGGGCCTTAAACACTTTGTGCCTCGTCTGGGGCTCCTTACATAGGCTTCTAGGTCCCATTATTTCCCAGGAAAGCTTCCCCTTGCTGTAAATGATCATGAGCAGCCCCCATAGGCCTGAGAGACCTGGTAGCTCCTTCTGCTTGCTCGATCATGAGGCCAAGCATTCCTTGTTCTCACAAGTGTGGCACCTGCAAGGATGCTTTCAGGGAATCATTGTACCCAGTTGGCTGCTTCTGATTTGCTGGGGTAGGAGCAGAAGCAAGATAATCCTGGGACTTGGGTGCCATCTGCCAGAATCAGATCAAGAGTGATCAGGGGAGGTGAGGCATGTTTGCGTTGGCTTCAGCAACCCACTGTTCCTCTCCCCCTACACTTCCCTCACTCTATTAAATACGCTATTGACTTTTGGGTTCTGTCCTTCATAAAGAGTAATATGATCGCCATCTCTAAACCCACCTATAAAGACATTCCAGAGCCACATGAGTCATTACCCATGACCAGATGGCTCTCGTTATGGTTTGGGGCTGCTTTGTTTTATTTTAGATGTCTGATGCTTTAGAATTCCTTGACCTTTCAGGCTCTGACATCTTCCTCCACTGGCCTGTTTTCTTTTATTAATGGTAGTGTCCTGTCGAAGTCATAGAAAGTATTTCTGAGTACTATCTTTATGACTTGGGAGAAAACTAATAATTTTTTAAAAAAATAAAAATAACACTGCCTGCTTTCTCCTCTCCATTCTGCAGATTCATTTGGTGGGTACAAGCTTCACTCACCTATTGGCTATAAATAAAAGAAGGTAGGGTTTTGAGCAAAGCTGATAGAACACTCAAGTCAAGTAGAGCAACTAAAGCCATAAAAGGTTGCTGGTGCCTATAGTCAGTTTACGTGGAATGAAGAAACACAGGGTTTGGTGTTACAGCTGCAGCCCTTGGAAGGCTTGGTGTAGAGGGCAGAACCTTCGGCGGTGCCCAGTCAGACCGAAGGGCCTGCGAGTGTCCCTGCCAGCCCCTCCCCCTGCCTACCCTCATTTTAACCTTCTTTCTGCAACTGCCAGCTTTACATCCTTACTTGTAAGGAAGTTTTGAAAATTGCTCCATGTTTATGAAAAGCGATGTGTTCTCGATGCCCATACGATTAAAACAGGGCCTCGAGTAACCCACCAGCCTCCTGAGCTAAGAATGGGTAGCATGGAGCCTCTCTAGTAAAGTGAGTGAATGCTAGCATGCCCTTAGCTGCTTTGGAAAAGTCCCCTGTTCTTTCCTGAGGAACTTATTTGCTCCTCAGACATGTCAGAGCTCTGGGGTAGATGTTTGATGCCTTTGCTCACTCCCCCTTGAGAGCAAACACTGATGATGATGCATGCCCCCATCTTTCTAGTTTGGGACTGGAGAGTTTTCCCCTGGAATCCACAGTAAATTAACCACAGAGATCATTCTGGTGGTGTCACTTGGTATTGAAATTGGACTGAAAGTATACGTGCGATCTGAGAAGAGTGTGCAAACGCCCAAGGTGATAAGAGTCCAGCTTCAGTTCATTTTACCAGCTCACCGGCTCTGCTGGTCCAGGAATGATAGCCACTTGCGAGCCCTGCCTTTTTCTTTAGAAAATGTTCCTGATGTGCTCATTCCTATTTTCTTGTGCATTATTCACGCTGGTTACTTCATTTCCTTGTTCTGTGCCTCCCTTTGGACTAGCATGCCCAACTAATTTCTGAAACAGGTAAATTCCTATGATTCTTCTGGATTATTCCATAGTGAATGTGATTTTCATTTACTCCATCCTGGAATCAAAAGTGGTAACACAGGGGCCTTTTGTTAGCACCCTTTGGGGGCAGACTCGGAGCTCACCTCATTTTGCACCACATTTCCATAATGTTGGCTGTTGAATTCTGTAGGTGATGGTGTATCTGCACAGGCCCAATGCTGTAGGTTCCTTAAATCCTAAGTGGGGTGGGTTCTCTGATACTTAATTTCTCATATTAACATTTTTTAATATTAATGTCAACACAGTTCTGTATTTGCTAATATAAAGGGTAAAATGAATCCCTTTTCCTCAGTAGTGCAAAGAGGAGATTATTACAAAAGACATTCAGATCATGACAGTGACAAGCCTTCCAGTGGAGGGAAAAGATCTTCAAAACTGTACTTCACCATTGCAGAAGAGGAAGTGAATGCAATTGGGCACAGGAAGTCACAGCCAACAAATGGTTAGAGCCTTCGGTTATCGTCCCTCACTGACCCAAAGCTTACGGACTGGCACTAACAAAAACAAACTTTAATTGAGTAACTTCTATTCCAGGACCAGCTCAGGGATTATTCATACAACTGCCTTTTTTTTTTTTTTTCCTAAATGGCAACAGGATGGTCCTTCCCTTTGAGGCTAAAAGTATGGACTTAAAAATCTAAAATTAGAAACTCTTAGGAGGAGGATCAAGTTACTTTGGAGTAGGGTGACTTGTCCTTTCAAATTTTTGTGATCAGGTAGGCTTATTTTTTTTATTTGGGGTCATACTTCCTGTTCTCTTGATCTCTCTACTCTTCTGTTAGATTTTAATTGGGATTGGATCAGAGATTCTGAGAGTAACACAGTTTCTACCTTTCGAGAGTATTGGCCTCACACCTTACCTTACAGTCTTTCAGGAAAGTATCCATAAAAAGCCAGCACGAAATGTAGACCTCACACCATGCCCACAAGCTTTCATTGGACATTTGATGACCCTTTAGTGAGACAGAAAAAGTACCAATTCACTTTTCAACCTCTGAGAACAGTTTATTCAACTTTACTGCAGTCGCTCGTCGGCACCTGACTTCCATTTGACCCTGTGGTAAACTTGGCAGGGTTCCGCGCAGCTGAAGATAGTCCCAGGAGACCAAAAGGAGACGGATTTCAAATCGGCTTTCATCTCCGGTGGGAAATGTTAGAGCAAGCATAGCTGATTCAGAGAGGAGGTGTCTTTTCTGTGACTCAGTACTGATGATCTTGCTGGCTGATCACTTCTTATAAATTTGCCTTGAAAAATCTTTGAAAGGCAGTCTTCGTATCATAAAAGAAAAAAATATGTTCTGATAGGTAAGATTCCCTGGAAGTACTTTTTCCCATGAAACAGGGCACTCTTCTTCTGGGAAAACTCTATCGGGGGTTAACACGTGTTTTTGGACTCCCAGTGATGAAGCGCATGGCCCAGCATTCTAGCTCTAACCCGAGGCCTTCATGGCCTTCTGCGAAAGCGCCCCGGATGGCAAGTCAGTGGGAGTGATCTTATGATAGGGATAAACTCTTCTTTATTGCAAAAGGATAAACCATTCTCAAACTTTAGCACTTCGTTACTGACAGTACGCCTCTCGTGACCCACCTTACAGCTTAACAACCCATTAAGTTACATACGATGCCTCGAGTGGAGACGGTCATCTTTGAGGACTTCCCTTGACAGAGGCTTAAAAACCAAAACAACAACAAAAAGGCATCTCCTGGTCCCCCACAAGCAATAACCTTTGGAGCCAGCTTTCTTGGCCAATGCCGTTGGATGAGCCATGCGCTGTGACTTGCCATCACTAGCTAGATGATGGCGTGGACCGGATGGAGTTAAGGACACGACCCACAGCGTAGGTCACATACGAACATTCTGTCTGGGCCAGCAAGTAGCACCTGCCCCACCTAGAGAAACTTTTAAAGGATTTCCTGAAACTAGTATGTCAACTATACTTCAATTAAAAATTTGTAAAATACCAGTGATGCCACGGACTCTACTGTGGAATCCTGTGGCTGACCCTATAATAAAAAAAAACCATACACTGTGACCCATTGTTTTTGTACATAAAGTTTTATTGGAATACACACGCACACACACACGTGGATTTCCTGTGTGGTAGACTTGCTTATAGACACATGCTTACAATCACTTTTCTCTCCGTAAGAGATTTTTCTCTGATATTTTCAAGAAAATCTGTTACCGTCAAGCGATAGGAAAATTACATAAATGAACACATTTGTTTTCTGGAGAGAGGCAGAGTTCTTTTTAGAGTCTATTGAATCAGAAGCTCTGTCTCTGTTTTGCCTCTTTTGATAAGGTTGCATAGATGTTTCTAGAGTTTGGAAATTTGCATTTGAACTATTGTATCGGTTGACTTCTCTCACTTGATTATTAAGAAAGTACATTGATGCGATGCAGTGTCCCCGCTTCTGAGAAGCCACAACACTTCACACGACACACACACACACAGACCGCCCCCAGGACCACACTGACCCTGCAGGAAGGCTTTGAGCTAGAGTAAAAAGAGGCTGATGGAAGGCAAGGAATTCTGTGTCTCTCGCAGATTTTTCCATGACCTTGTTGGCGTACAGTCCTCACCGTGATGGGCTGCCTCCAAGTTTGATGGAATTCAACAGGACCATCTTGTATTTGCTTTTCTGCCTCAATTTCTTGAAATGCAGACAGGAACCCCCAAAAGAGTAATTTTTATGGGAGCTTCAATTAAAGTCATTTTATATCAAAGATTTGGATTTTGTTTTGTTAGTGCCGACTCCTACCCTTACCTGTCTTTGTCCTTGAGAACCGCAAAGCAGCCTGCTTTCTAATTATTTTTTTATTTTTTTAAAGATTTTATTTATTTAAGCAGTCTGCTTTCTGACTAGTTAGTTCCTGGTTAACAAATGGCGTTTGGCAGAGGAATGCTGTTACACCGTGCTGCGACCGTGCTGCGTACTTCCCTTTAAATCTTCTGTGAGCAGCTTCGTTTATGCTAAAACAGCTTTCTTGCTTTCCTAAATCAAGTAACCGTGTAACAGACAGAGGCTGTTGTTCTCAAAGCATGCTGCATAGTTCTACCATGATTACTGTTTTAATTACGTGGCTATTTTAGTATTGACAGGTAAAATGCTGACTTTCTTTTACTGGAAGTCTCTGTCACTTGAATTTCACGTCCTTTCCTGTCTTGCGTTCAATGATAAGCTGTGATGTTTTCATTAGAGTGTGTCCTATTTTCTTGAAGAAAATAGTTGGTTTTGGCTTTGTACGTATCATGGTGTATCCTGTTTGCACAGGCCATCTTATTCTGAGATTCCTTTTATATGTCACCTGCTTCGTCCATAATCCAACCTAAAGCCAGCCACTACCTGGCTATGGTTTATGGTCTGTAAGCCAGTACTCTGTTCTGCTTTTTTTCACCAGATCTGTGATCTACAACCCCTATATGAGTTCTCCAAAAGAAATCTAACAGTTGGTCGGCAGTTTGGGCTCTTACCAGAAAGTATTAAAAAAAAAAAATCAGGGCCGGCTACGGAATATTATTTTTTAAGGTCATCATGTTTTCCTCCTGGGAAATATGAATGTCCGTGGAGCTTAAAATGGAGAAAAGTTCCAATTTTCAAATGCATCTCTAATTCTGAATTTATATGCACATTTTGGAAGCTTTAAAATTAGCACATGTAGGTATATATATATTTGCATGTGTGTGTGTGATATATATGTGTGTGTGTATATATATATTATATATGTGTGTGTATATATATTATATATATATATGTATGTATGCAAAGTCAAATCGTCTTCAAGAATGACAGGTTTCATGTTTGAGCCTCTCTGCACCAGTCATCGGCACTGTAGATGGGAGGTGAGTGTACACGGAGTGTTTGTGTTGAATAAATTAAATGTTCACTCAGGCAAGTATTTTTTATCATTTTAATGGTACACGGAATGGCAGTAAACACGTGTATAGACCCACGTATAGAGATTCCCCAGCGCGTTAATTGTAAGGACACTTGCATTGAAGAAGTGGAGTAAAACGATGTGATTTTTCTTTTTTATCCTGCATTAAAGTCAAGCATTACATCGGACTGCCTAGGAGAAGGTCCATCTGAATTAGTAAAAAAAAAAAAAAAAGCCAGGATTTTATAAATATTTTAAAATACTTTTAAGTTTTCAAGCAGACGTAATCTTATTCGGAGTATTCATTAGCGGGAGCTTGACCAAACCTACTTCAATATAATTGTAATTAAAATCCTAATTATATGTAATCAAATAGGTGATGCCTAAGGGCTGGAAAACAAACTTGACAAAGAACATTCCCCCTACAAAGTTGCTTGCACCAGTGTCCTGGGCTAATGAGAAGAAGTCGGGAGGCTGGGAGAGTGAGCGCATTGGCTACTCATCTGATTTCAGTTCCCTGATCTCACCTGCTTCGGTCTCCTGTCCATTCTCCGGCCTCCCTACAATGCCAAAAAAATGCCAGCTAGCCCCATGATCCCATTCACAAGTGGTAGAGTTTAATCAATGATTTTTTTATTTATTTGAGAGAGAGCATGAGTGGGGGCGGGGGGAGGGGGCAGAGGGAGAAGCAGGCTCCACGCTGAGCAGGGAGCCCGACGTGGGGCTCGATCTCAGGACCCTGGGATCACGACCTGAGCCGAAGGCAGATGCTTAACTGACTGAGTCCCCCAGGTGCCCCTAGAATGAATTTTAAATAGTGTCACTGCCTTAGTGAACTGTTTTGTTGGGCCTCTAGAAAGACCATGTTATTCCTCTCAAGGACTTTGTTGGACAAATTAAAATTTGTACCTTCATGACTGGTACTGGGTCTGTGTCACCAACCTAAATAAAACCCAGCCTGTTCACTTATTAATGTTTGCTGTGTCCTTCTGTACCTCCCTCCCCAACCCTCCCCACCCCCCCAGCCCTGGAAGACTCAGAATCAGGTCACTTGGATGTGGACTGAAGGACACTGAAGGACACTGCTTTCTGCAGGAAGATTCCTATGTGGGATCTCCCTGAGTTTCAGTTAGCTGCGCCCCATCGACCTTCGTCCATGGTGCTCTCTGTTTTTACCTGTGATGTAAACATTGTTGATGGCATGAATTTCTCCATTTTTAGAGTACTCTGTGGTGTCACAGAACATGAATTAGGCCTGGGATTTTGAGGAAGCTGAAATACTGGGAGGGATGAATAGCTTTTGAATCTAGGACTTAGAGCAAATATGTTTGCTCTGAAGACAAATAAGTAATGTATCACCATGTGTATTTCTTTTTTTGAACCTATAGTTTTGGAAATTTGTTTTTGAGTCAGTTGATACATAGGAACAACTCATTTTGGTTTTAAGAGGGAATGAATAGAATTTTCTAGCAAGATTTCCCTAATAATGCTCTATTTTGAGGTCAGATTATTGCAGTGTCTTCAAGGTGAAGATAGTATAAATCTCCACTTCCTCCTGTTCATAGCACACGCAGAAGTTGAGAATATAGAGGACCCTTTGTGAATTACTATCAGATGGATTTTGTGATAAAGGACAAGCTATATATAGAAACCTATTTTACCTTTTTCCCCCAAACCTGATTTGTTGACAACTTTCAAAGAA